TTAAAAAAATGTTTATTAACTAAATAATTGAGTTTTACATATATAAATAAATATATGTATGTTTAAGGTATTATAAATTTGAAACAGTCATAAATCATATTAGAGCGTCCAGGCAGGCTGGTATTGGAATTATGTAGATGGGTAATATGGGTAATATGATATGACAATGTGTCAGTCGATTATAAAATAGAGACCAATATATTTATAGTAATTGTAGTAGTAGATTATAAAGCAGAGTCTAATATATTTATAGTAATTTATACCGAGAAACAAAATACTGATATCCATTTTAAGCAATTCTATATTCTATTGTTTATATCTGCCAATGGAAACGTGCCTAAAATCTCTCCCTCTCCCTTCAACTCATTCTCTTCCCTGCATTGAAACGAAAGGCAATGGAACAGTCTTCCACTCTATACAGCTCAGGCTCTCTCGATGGCATACAGCCTGGTTGATGCCTTGAGAGACCATTCAAAGCTCTCAATTGTAACTCCATTACTCTATTATATTATTGCTCTATTACTTAATTACTCTACTCTCTCTACTCCTCTATCTCTCCATCATATACATATAGACATTCCCATGCTTACCTGATGCAGCATAGCCACACAATGTGTGTCGCTCCTGAAGTTCACATGCGTAGCTTTCAGAGCGAGCCACAGTTGCTGCAGTCGGACGGACAAATGTTTCCACTTCACTTGATTTGCGCCAAATATGGAGAAGGTTAGCAGGATGTCAAAGTGAAATGATAGGCAGACCACAGAGTAGAAATAACAACGCCATGGACTAATGAACTCTGCATCGGCAATGAGCACAACCAAGTTGAAGAACAGCGAAATCTCAGTCAAATAGTTGGTGAAGACGTTGAGCAGGAGTAGAGCCTGAAAGATTTTCAGCAGCTCGACGAGCAGCTTGTCCAGCTGCCGGCAGCTGTGCCAGAGCCGATGCCAGGCAGCCAAGAGCTGCCGCTGATAGACAGCGCGATGGCGGCCACGAGACGGCGGCAGCCAGCGCAGATCTCGAGTCAGCTCCAATGCCTCCTGCGACATGCACTCGAGCAGTCGATTGCTGGTGCCCACCACGCAGTAGGCCAGGCTGTCTGTGCAGCTGGCCAGCAGGTCCATCAGCAGCACGGCCACCGAGAGGCCGATGTAGATGGGCGGCAGGCCAGTCACGACCTCATCATCGTCTACGCCGCACATCAGCGCGCTGCCGGGGCCAAACAGCTGATTGAGCAGCACCACGAAGCGCGTATTGCTCAGCAGCAGCTTCCAGAGGTGGCGTCGCCAGTAGCTATAGTTCGCATGGTACTGCGTGAAGCGCTCCAGCAGCCGCATGTAGCCATTGCAGACGCGTCTGATGCGCTGCCGTCGCAGCCAAACGCTGCCCAGCACCACGAACAGCGAGCACGACTTGGTCAGAGAGACGCAGCTGTAGGCCATGGACAACATGTCCATGCCCTGGCAGCTGTAGTAGCTGTTCACCATGAGCACAAAGCAGACGGGCGTCAGCACCACATAGACCACATTCAGGAGCAGCCAGTAGCCCAGCATTAGTCCGTGATCCAACTCGAAACGCTTCCGCTCCGCCACATAGCGCAGATTGCACAAGCCAATGGCTCGACTTATGGACACAAAAACCGACAGCAGCTCCATTCTGCACAAAGTTCCAGCTGGGACTGAGTGGATGGCGAATGTCCGTCGCAGAGTCCTTTTTCAAATGACTTGTTAAAAGCCCCTTCGGGAATGCGATAATCACGGCATTTCTACTATTAAAAACAGGTGATTATATATAAACTGAGCAGAGCTCTGGAAACTCACATTATATAAATATTATTGTGATAAATGTAAAATGTCAATAATAACAGTTCTTCACTTGAAGCTCTGCTTAAAATAAATTAAGTATTGTTAATTTTATATGAATAAAAGTTGAAAGGCAAACGAAATAATCTAGATCTTTATCATCAAAAAGAGAAAATAAAATTTAATAAAAATGAATGCATTTATTTATTTATTTTTTTATATTTATATTCAGTACGCTTCTGACGAATGTGCTTATAAAAAAATAAATATTTTGTTATACATTTAATTTGATATTCAAAATAAAAATATAAAAAAAAATAAAACGCTGAATTAGTTAGCTGAGCCTTTTGATAAATCCATAAAAAATAATTAATATTTAAAAATTGTTTTTAAATTTATTAATATATTTTGAATTGTACATATATAATTTTAATATAATTTTCATTTCATTAATATAATTTGTTCTATTTAATATAACAAATCCAGAGCAGCATACCCGATGCCTTCCATCTACTAAACAACTATTTCCTGAAGTTTCTGCAAAAATGCTTAAAAACTGCAATAACAAAGTATATATTTTTTAAGTTTTTCTCATTTAAAATTTCTAAGCTTAACTCAATTATAAGACAAAAATACTTAGTAACGTAACATAGATCAGGTTTGTTTCTTAAGTCACATTCCGATATTCACTTTTGCATTAGGTACATAGTTAATATTGAGGGTTTTTGCCATTTGGCATTGGTTTAATCTTATGTTAATTTGAATAATACTTTGAGCTAATAATACAGGATAAGCATATGCTAAGGCAAAGCATATACTAACAGAGACTCGGACTAAATAGACTATATTGAAACCAAAGGAGCAACTTTAACAGATATCTCACAGTTGTGCTGCATTCCTTTAGGTATAAAATATTAGGCCACACTTCGATGACTGATAATCATAGCTCTAAAATTTGCAGAAATTAGAAAGGAATTTTAGAGACTAGGAGAAGTACTTGAAGATATCCTGGCTCAGGATTCCTGAGTTGCTATTACAGATCCTCAAAGTGCCCATAAAGATTTGTTCTGATTTTTGGCAGTGACTATAATAAACAATTCCTATAGCCAACAACTTTATGCAACTTTCCTACGGCATTTTCATCACTATCCATGGCACCCGGCCGTGATACCTATAGAAATAATAGTCATACGCCAGCTTGCCCAGGATTAGAATGATGAGGCTGGCGAGCACACAGTTGAGCCAGTCAATGGGATGGATGCGCGTATCGTCCTCGGCGCTGATGTTGCACATGTCGTGGCGGGTGAGGGTCAAGACCTTGGCCAGCCGCAGCTCGTCGCCCTGCATATAGGTGCAGGTGACATTCCAGGCGTCCCTCACAATGTCCTTGTACTTGGTGAGGAACTCGCGCAGCCGCATGCCAAACTTGCAGGTGCAATGCCAGGGATTCTTGCTCACCAGCAGGAGATTCGCATTCTCATTATCGTTCAGCGCATTGTCCATGGCGTACACCTGCAGCTTGCGCAGCTGATTGCCCTGCAGGTTGAACAGGCGGAAGTTCTGCAGCCAGTAGGTGTCCTCCAGCACGTCGATGTTTGAGATCAAATTGTTCTCCAGCTGCACGTCCACCACGTGGTGATAGAGGGGATTGTCCCGCAGCGGATTAATATCACTGATCTGCAAATTGCATTGTGAGTTGCTAAGCCGTTGAAGAGAGTTGAATTACCTTGCTTCACTTACCAGATTATTATTGATGTACAAGGTGGTTGTATTCTCTGGCAAATAGGCGGGCAGATTGTGAAACTGCAGATGCGAGCAGTTGACCGTGTAGAGTGGAATGTAGGACTTGGGAATTATGTGATGCATCAGGCAGGTGCAGTTGAGCAGATCTGGATGCGATTGACACTCTCTGCGTAGGACCTAAAATTTATATTGAGCTAACTATTATTTTGAAAATTTATTTGCCTTTTGGCCATCTCCTTGATTCAGTTATTAAATTTGATATTGTTATTGATATTGTGTAGTATTCCTTATATGAGGATAATTTAAATCATTAGAGAAGAGTGCTGAAAAAACTTGATATATTAAGAGGGAATATCTAAAACAATTATTATACAATATATTTGCATTCTTTGCATCCAACTATTACGTATACGTAATGTGTCTTTCCAAATATCACGTTTACGTAATCTGTCTGTTCAAATAATACGTAATACGTTTACGTATCTGCCTACATAAATAGTATGTATACGTAATGAGAAAACGTATAATTAGTCTTAGCATTCTTTGCATGCAAATATTACGTATACGTATTACGTAATACTTAAACAGTAAAAATATACAGCCGTACGTATATGTAACATAAAGAAAACGTAGACAATTCTTTATATTAGATATACTGTCTATGTATTTATTCTGTCTAAATATTACGTATACGTAGCCTACGTTTATTGTGTGTGCAAATATTCCGTATACGTCGTCTTTTTTTCACTATGAGACCTCATATAGCAAGTTCGATGAGACAAGCTCTAAAAATGCTTGAGTTATGCTCAAATAAAAAAAGTTAAAGGAGAGAATAGAAAACGCTAACAAGTGATTTGCAGTCTAAGCGCTAAATGGACTCAATAGCTGATCAACCTTATATAAATTTTATGGGCACGGCTAAGGTTTCTATATGTTATATGCACTACAATTAAATTATAGCTAAAACTTACTAAAGCTAGTCTATAAAGGCAAAAGTCATTTTCAGAGGGAACAGAAGATAACCGAATTAAAATCCTAAATTTAACTGTTATATTTAATTCAACTATGGTCATTCGCATTTTTTAAAAGTATTAACTCTTACGATCTCTACTCACCACCTTGTAGTGCATGACCAGCAGCATTTGTCGCTCCTTGTACTTGCGATCGGCGCAGATGATCTCCTCGCGATCCACTACGAGGCGACCCTTCTCTGGCTGGAGCAGCAGCCACTTGAAGTTGCGCGTGCAGTTCCACGGATTGCCGGCCAGGTAGAGCTGCTGGAAGGAGTGCGGCAGCATCAGTGGTCCGTCCAGTTGGATGAGCTGATTCCAGCGCAGATCTAAAATTTCCAGCGCATGAATGCGCTTAAACGTGCGCGTCGAAATATACGAGAGATTCGTCCACGAAATATTTATGGCCTGCAATACAATCCAAATTAGTTTCACAAGTCTCATAGCTGGCGAGACTCTTGTCACCTGCAGATGATACATATCCGGAAAATCAATATTGAACTCTGTGAAGCCGCTGTACTCGATGGTCAGGGAGCGCAGCTGGGAAAACTTTTGCAGCTCCCGCAGAGGATTGAAGGACTCCCGGGGCCAGCCGCATAACAGCATCTGTTGTGCCTGCACAACTTTGCCCAGCTTCGAGCTGTGAATAAATATAATCAGTTGTCAATTAGATCTATAGATTCCTTAGTATATTCCCCTACTTTAGAGCTCCCACATTGTTCATGCCGCCATAGCATCGGATCAGTCCATTGCGCGTTGGCCTCGTGCAGTTCCCATCCGCAGCCTCTGGCGCTGTCGTCCAGTTAGCGCAGCTCTGGCTGGATATCAAGGCGGGTATATTAGCTACTGCTGTTTTAGTTAGGGTGACATTGCCAGTGTGAGCATCCACGACGCCACAAAACCTGCCCACAGAAGAGAAGCGGTAATTAAAGCTAATATGCGCAGTATATACGCAGGTGTCTGCATTTGGGTCTATTTATAGACCCATGGCTGCGCCTCTCAGGTGATAATTGTTGTTAAGCCAAAACCTCAGACCAAAATACATTCGCTTGCCACTAATCATAAAAAGCGTGTGACTGGCGTTCATTTTGTTTTATTATTTTTATGGCATGCAGTAGTCGAGCGAGAATGTAAACAATTGGGTTTACCTAACCCATATAGTACCCCAGATGCCCGAAATACCCTATATACCCAAATATACGTTATCTATATTTGTATTAGATTAAGCAGAGTGTTAACATTATTAGCGTTAACATGATTCCGCTTCATTGATTGCATTGAAATAGATGGACGAATTAAGTTTATCATTTGAATTATATTTATATGTTATGTGGGCCAAAATAGAAGAAGAAGCATATAGGCATATAAGGCATAGCCGGAATATCTTTATACAAAGCATAGATAGAAGTATGTATAGAGATATCTTTCATCATGAACTCAAAATATATATTTATAT